AAAATATATGATAAAATAAATTATAACTAAACTTTTTAATAAACTATATTCTAAAGCAAAAATCTGCACATCGCGCGGGTATGCAAGTCCTCAACATTTCTCACAGCGAGGAGTTACGTGTGTGGGTGAAAGCATCGTACGTTTTCTACGATAGCCAAAGAAATGAGAGTGGAGAACCTCACTCTGAGCATAGGCTGGCTAATTTATCTCTTTATGTAAGGTTTTTTAAAGCAAGGTTTTTTTTTAATAAAGCAAAGCTTTTTTCAGAACCAATTCTGATATGCTGCGACGTGGCATATAAGAAATTGACATATGTTATTTTTTTCTTTTAACTATTTATATTTAATTATCTTTCATTAAACAAACACAAAAACAAATCTAAAGTTTTTGTTTTCTTTTTTTTCCAAATTATTTTCTTTCATCCAATAAACATAAACGAAAATGAAATCACTCAAACAAATCTTATATAATATAGTAAAGTCATATATTACTTTTTTTCTATCTTTACAATTCTTTCTTTTTTATTGAACAAACACAAAACAACGCTTAATTTTTTCTTCTTCTCAGAATAAAGTAAGTTTTTTTTATATCAGAAGTATTTCTGATATGCTGCCATAACATCTAAGAAAATGATATATGTCACTTTTTTGTAACTATAAAATATAATAAGGTGTTTTTTTTATTAAAAACTCTGATATACAGTTATGTGTCATCCTATAAATTGAAATGCTCCACTTTTTCTTTTCTTTTCTATTTTTGTTTATCAAACTAACACAAAAATAAAAGTTTTTTTTTTCTATTCTCCAATAATTCTCTTTTATCCAACAAATATATACAAAAAATCAAACTTCCCAATGAATACAAATCCTATATAATATAGCAACATCAATTGTCACTTTACTTTATTTATTTATTCAAATAAAGTAAGATTTTTTTCAGAACCAACTTTGATATACTGTCACATGGCATCTAAAAAATTGACATATGTTTTTTTTTTCTTTTAACTATTTCTATTTAATTATCTTTCATCAAACAAACATAAAAACAAAGCTTAAGTCTTTATTTTTCCCTTTCTCCAAATTATTCTCTTTTATCCAACAAACCGAAACGAAAATCAAATCACTCAAGCAAATCTTATATAATATAGTAAAGTCATGGAGTACATTTTTTTATATCTTTACTATATTATTTTTTATCGAACAAACATAAAAACAACGTTTAATTTGTTTCTTCTCAAATTAAAGTAAGTTTTCTTTTTCAGAAACAGCTCTGATATATTGATATGTGACACTTAGGAAAATGACATATGTTACTTTTGTTTTTAGCTATACATTATAGTAAGGTTTTTTCATCAACAACTCTCACATACTGTTACATGTCATCTTAGAAATTGAAATGCTTCACTTTTTTTGTTTTTTTCTATTTCCACTAGATTTTGTTTTATCGAACTAACACAAAAACAAAAATTTTGGTTTTTTTTAAAGAATAAAGTAAGTTTTTTTTAGAAACAGCTCTGATATGCTGCTATGTGATATCTAAGAAAATGACATAAATCATTTTTGTTTTTAACTATAAAATATAGTAAGGTTTTTTATATTAACAACTCTGATACACTGTTACATGCCATCTTAGAAATTGAAATGCTTCACTTTTTTTTTCTAATTTCTACTAGAATCTTATTATCGAACTAACACAAAAACAAAAGTTTTGGTATTTTTTTCCTTCTCCAATAATTCTCTTTCATCCAACAAACATATACAAAAATTAAACTACCCAACAAAATACAAATCCTATATAATATAGTAACATCAATTGTCACATTTATCTTTTCTAATAAAGTAATATTTTTTTCAGAACCAACTCTGATATGCTGCCACATTGCATCTAAAAAATTGACATATGTAATTTTTTTATTTTAACTATTTCTATTTAATTATTCTTCAGCAAACAAACACAAAACAAAGCTTAAGTCTTTTTTTTTCATTTTCTCCAAATTATTCTCTTTCGTCCAACAAACGGAAACAAAAATCAAATCACTCAATCAAATTTTATATATTATAGTTATGTCATGTCTTGTTTTTTTTAATATTTTTACGATATTCTTTTTTATCGAACAAATATAAAATAATGCTTAATTTTTTTTTCTTTTCAGAATAAAATAAGTTTTTATTTGTATTTTTAGAAGCAATATGCTGCCATGTGACATTTAAGAAAGTGACATATATCACTTTTGTTTTTAGCTATAAAATATAGTAAGGTTTTTTTCATTAACAACTCTGATATACTTTTATATGTCATCTTAGAAATTGAAATGCTTCACTTTTTCTCTCTTTTTTTTTCTATTGCTACTAGATTTTTTTTTATCGAACTAACACAAAAAACGTTTTAGTTTGTTTTCCTTCTCCAATAATTCTCTTTCATCCAACAAATATATACAAAAATCAAACTATCCAATAAAATACAAGTCCTATATAATATAGTAACGTTAAATGCCACCTTACTTTATCTATTCTAATAAAGTAGAGTTTTTTTTTTCTAAACCAACTCTGAGTTTTTTTTTTTCAAAACCAACTCTGATACGCTGCCTTATGGCATATTAGAAATTGATATATGTTATTTATTTCTTTTAAATATTTGTATTTAATTATCTTTCATCAAACAAACACAAAAACAAAGCTTAAGTCTTTTTTTTCCTTTTCTCCAAACTATTATCTTTTCTCAGAATAAAGTTTTTTTTTCAGAAGCATCTCTGATATGCTGTCATGTGACATTTAAGAAAACGACATATGTCACTTTTGTTTTTATCTATAAAATATAGTGATGTTTTTTTTTTCATTAACAATTCTGATACACTGTTATATGTCATCTTAGAAATTGAAATGCTTCGCTTTTGTTTTCTATTTTTACTATATTTTTTTATCGAACTAACACAAAAACAAAAATTTTTTTTTCTTCTCCAATAATTCTTTTTCATCCAACAAACATATACAAAAATCAAACTATCCAATGTAATACAAATCTTTATATAATATAGTAACGTCAATTGTCATCTTTTTTTTCCTATCTCTTATGTAATCACTTTCAACAAACAGATACAGAACAAGGTTCCAGTTTTATTTTTTTCATCTCCACTAGATTCTCTTTTATTATGTCTCCTATATCACATTATTTTAGATTTGTTTGAAAAAATTTAAGAGCTGATCATTTCTATAAGAAAATAGACTTTTTTGATGTTTTCTTTGTAGCGAATCAAACAAAAACATCATGCACTATTTTCTATCATGAAGTTTTTTTTACATTAATGACTCACTACTTCCTTTTCTACTGCATCGAATCTCAAAGCACCACCACTATCACAATATGGATTCTACTCTCGAGAATTCTTCTTTTCGGTTATCCTTGATGTCAGCTTCACTTCTCTAACAGGATCAAACCTCATATTATAATTTCACCAACTTTTTAATATAAAATTTAAATGGTAGTTACAATTTATAAAATAATATTTACTGATAAATTTTTACTAACAAATATAATAAAATATGTTATAAAAGTAAAATAGTATATAATATATGCAGTAGTATTATAAATGAGAGAGAGACGAAATGAAAAAATAAGAGAGAGAAAAGTCTTTTGTTTTTATGTAACTGTTCTTGTTTATCATATGTTTACAAAAGAGGAAACCAACACTTATTTATATACATAGGTAAGTCGGTGAAAAATGTTGGTGGATGTGAAATGATAATTCATTTCATAATATGGATGTGACTGAATAATCAAATCCATTTCATGATATTTCAAAAATTATCCTTTCATAATATTTTTTTTTATTTTTTTGTCTCATTTGTTTTATTATAGTTTAAATTTATTTATAAGTGTGAATTTGCTATGATATATATTAAAATCACATCCAAAATTTAAACTATTTTGAGACATCACATACAAATAGTGAATCACAATATTTATAAATAAAATCATCGACTGATTTTGATATATTAAAAAACAAACCATAGTCATAGTATTGATGTGAATTATGAATGAACAATGTGTAAAGAAGACAACTCAAAGAACAAGACCTCTATAATTAACAAAACTCCAAACCAATTTTAACAAAACAAACATTAAAGAAATACAAGAGAACAATTTCTCTATTATTCATAAGGTAAAGAAGATCCGATTGCTGTCAAAAAACGAAACGAAGATACGATTCTTGTTACACCCTAGCGTGCATGAGGGGTCACTTGGCTTCCAAAATCAACAGTCAATTCTAAAGAGTTCTTTGAATCATCATCGTGAATCTGTCCTCCTATCCTCAAATTCTCAGAAACCAAACACTCTTTAAGCACATTGACAACTCTCGACATGGTTGGTCTATCAGATGAAGAATGACTTACGCATGACATAGCAAGTTCAAGAATCCTCCAGACCGTGTTAGAATCATACTCTCCACCAAGATTTGGGTCAACAATTTTCTCAAGATCTCCTCTGCTTATAAGAATCTTTACCCATTCTGCTATATGAGCTTTTTCTCGGGCTAGCTCTATCACAGACAGGTTTGTGATGATTTCTATTAGCACAATACCAAAACTATAGACATCACTCTTCTCGTTTAACCAATTTGTTAAGTAATATCTGCAAATAAATAAAACAGTTTATGGAACTTAATATGAAGAGAAACGTTGAAGTTACATTGTTCATGAATTAGATAACTTACTCGGGATCAAGATATCCAGGTGTTCCTGCAACTACTGTTTCTACTTGAGTTTCAGCTCCAAAGCAAAATGATCTTGAAAGTCCAAAATCCGCAAGTTTGGCCTCGAAACGATCGTCCAATAGTATATTTGTACTTTTGACATCTCTATGAACCATTAGTGGCTCACATCCAACATGTAAATACTCTAAACCTATGCACACAAAACCATATCCATGTTGAGAACTTAAGATATTGCTGTAAACTTTGTAGGAAAGCAAGAATGTTGAAAAATGTTAAAAGTTAACAAGAATTAACCTTGTGCTGCCTCTACAGCAATTTTTAATCTACTAGCCCATTTCAATGTAGATCCAGAGGATTCTCCTGCAAACGAAAAAGTTAAATCCATACAAGTTAATTACATCAAAATAACAGATTAATAGACGAAATAAAGACATGTCTTGTGTTAATGATTAATTAATTACCTGATAAATGTTGTTTAAGGTCTCCATTAGCCATGTACTCATAGATAAGTGCTAAAGGGCCTCCTTCATCACAGTAACCAACAAGGCTTACCAAGTTTATGTGATGAACTCTTAGAAGAAGCTCCACCTTTTACATCCATTTTCATATAATTAAATTCTCTTAACAAGACATAAAATAACTTTTCTTTTGGATCAAAAAAGTGCAAAAACTTTAACATACCTCTGCCTTAAATTCCTTATAGCCTTGAACTGATGACTCAGAGAGCACTTTAACAGCTACTGGTTCGGTATCACTCAAAGAGCCGTGGTAAACAACTCCGAACCCTCCTTCTCCAAGAACTCTTTTGAAGTTATCCGTAAGCTGAACGACTTCTGAATATGTAAACTTTTTCTTTTTGGCATATATTGATGACTTTCTTGGTAATTCTCTTGTAGCAGCTGTACATGCAAGAAATCATAAGCAATGTCATCATTATATACTACGAAACTTAGATAGTTTATTAAGCACCTTCTGATAAGGGCTTTTTCTTTCTCAAAGCAAAAAAGAGAGCTGACAAGGCTATAAGAGTGGCGACTGAAGCAACCGATGCAATAACTGGTCGTAGGACTTTCTTGTTGTTATTGTTGCATGAGACGGAGAGACAAAGATTTGGGTTTCCTTGAACACTACATAGAACAAGAATGTTACTGAATATGGAATTTTATCTGGAACAAAAATTGTTAGGGAGAAACTTACACCAATTTCAGGCCTTTCTTTTCTCTATCACGAAGGGCTTGAGGAATTGGACCGGTGAAGCTATTCCACCCTAAGTTTCTGTCAAAATATAGAAGAACATTACATATATACATACATTATGCATAACTCTGGTGAAAAAGTATGATTACTTATTGCTTAACAAGAAATTTACTCACATGATCAACAATGATTCCATGTTGGCTAGAAACTCAGGCACTTCTCCACTCATATTGTTATTTGACAAATCGCTAGCATTCAATTAAGATACATTGATAAAAAAAAGTTAAGAACAATCAAGATGCATCTAACAAAAAAATGCGGTTTTAAGGATATTATTTATCTCACAGTTCTTGTAGCTGGGTTAGATTTTGTATGCTAGATGCTATGATCCCCTTTAGTCCACTTGATGATAAGTCTCTGATTGTAAGAACATAACACATAAATTTAGAAATTAAACATTGAAATACTTGGTCCAAAAAAAAACCTTGAAATGTACTTGTTATAAATTTATGATTAAATATTCTTACAAGGAAATGATTCTTGGTGGAATAGAAGCATTTGTGTAGCTACAATTTATACCCTCCCATCTGAACAATCGTGGAACGCACGGATCTCCTTGCCAGTCGATTTTACTCAATTCATATGTATCTTGAACATTTTGGATCGCAGCGACTAAAAAAAAAAACAAAAAAAACCCCCCCAAATTAATATACAGAAACATATATAGAAATATCGCAAGAATTTGATACTAGTAATGATTGGTTTTGACTAACCATCCTCTGGATTAGTTTCTTCATCAGGGAACTCAATAATCCTATAAGCTTCCATAGCATTGATCATTGGTGGAAGTGTTGAGCTCTGAGTCATAACAAGCTCCACTGTACATTGAAGAAACCTACATTTCATAGGCGATGTGTTGTAAAGAGTCTCTAGCTGAAACTTTGGAGGGCGATAAGCTGAAATCGTAATGTTTCCGTCGTTTCCTTTCCATGTAACGTCGAATTCTCTTGTATCGTTGCCTTTAAGTGTTTGTATCTCAGCAAAATGTAGGTATATGATAGCTTGATCCTCACGGTTATCCATAATCCAGTCGTAAGTTAACTTCTCGGTCACGTTTTTGTTAATGACTGCCTTTGTAATGACTTCTTGTGGTAGCTCGTAAGGAGTAGAAGAGTTTACATCGAGGCTTGTGTTTACAAAATTCAACCCAAACGAAAGACTTATTGGATTCCATTCACGATCATATATATCTGAAGGATACCTGAAAATTATAATCAACAGTTATCAAACACAATTATCGTCTTTTACAAAACTCTGTTTCTTGTGTAGTAAGAAAAGGGGTTCTTGTATAATAAGAAAGGTTAAATTTACCGAATAGAGGGACCGAGAAAATCGCTAGCATAATAGCGTTTTAAGAGCTTCAAGGAACCGTTTGTAGTTATGTAAGTGTCATCTCTTAAAGGTCTTAGCTCCAAGGCTGAAATGATTGGTGTAGACTTCCCTGTTTTAACAAGACAAATCTGCAAAGAGCTTGACTTTGGGGTGTGTATGATCTCCTCTGTTTTTGAACTTATAGAGGTTTTTAAATCGACTGTTGTCCATATGTTAGGACCGAGATAAAGATCGAATATCAGGCCATCGTTAAGACCATCGTAATTCCCGTAGAGGAAAAGAGCTTTGATAAGATATTTCTTAGATGGAGTGACCCTCAAGTTATAGCAGTTTCGTATTCCTTCTGGAAAATATCTTAGGACTGTGAATGGCTTGTAGGATCCTTCCCAAACCTTTTGGACTCTACCACTTTGACCAGCTTGTGTGAAGTTAGCGTCGGATGTATATGTTAACCCGGTTAATGGTTCCGTATAAGGAGATACCGCGTGGTGTAAACCGCAATCCAAGCTGATGAATTCTGGTAAGAGATGACATAAAGTTTAATGTCGAATATATAGAAGAAAAATGTAAATTTCAAGATTTCTTAACAGCAAGTTGTTCAAGAGAGTAAACCTTTTGGATCAGACTGAGCTTGAATTAGATGTGTCCTAGTGTCAAAAGCAACAATGATCAGAGCTAGCACAAGACCTTGAAGAATCTCCATGTTTTTGAGGAGTTTTAAGACAAAAAGAAAACAGTTTTCGCCTGTCTGTTTAGTTCCTTGTTCATTTTTAAGTCAAGATTAAGGTAGATCGTTGACTTTTGACTTTTTAATTAAATAAAAGTTGTTGACAGAACAGGAACAACCAGGATGAATGGTCACCATGACCTCGACGTGCTTACAACCTTTATTCCTCTATGGGTTATTTAATTAACTGCAATCTTATGTTTGATTTAGGTGGAAAGAAACAACAACAAGATATTGTAACAGAAATATAACTGTAGTATGAAAATAAGAGAGCTTCTAATCAAAATCTAAACCTTCTGTATTTGTTTGGATATGAAAATAAAAATATAAATCTCAGTTAAAACATAAATTTATTTCAGTCACTCATGTTCTTTTGGCATTTCACATTGAGAGATAGAGAAAGAGAAAATCTAATTCCCATGTTCATAAATCTAATTGTCTGATTAGATAGAGATATGTTTGACAATAAATAAAATGATTTGTCTTAAACTGAGTTTTAGGTGGCAGTGCAACATATACTTTAGATATGAAAAAAAAAGTTTTACATAAAATTATTAAATTCTTTGACATTGTATGGAACTGACAAAGACTTCAAAATCAGCTAAAAGGAATGAATAAATTCAGCCAAAGTATTTCTTGGTAGAGATTACTTGTTACCGTGCCTCAGGGGTCACCTCATTGGTGAAGCTAGTACTTAGTTCAAGAGAACTCTTTGAATCCATGTCTGATTTTCCTCCTTTCCTTGATTTCTCATATAAGAGACACTCTTTCAATTCAATAACAACCTGAGACATACTTGGTCTTCCCGAGGAAGAGGGGTTGACGCAAGACATAGCTAGCTCAAGAGCCTTCCACACAGAACTTGAGTCATAATCTCCATTGAGATTTGGATCCATAATGTTCTCAATATCTCCCTTGGTAAGCATCAGTCCCACCCATTCCGCGATGTGAGGCTTCTCACGTGTTTGTTGAATCACAGGCTGGCTTGTGATCATCTCCAACAAAACAATCCCCAAACTGTATACATCACTTTTCTCGGTCAACCAATTTGTTCTATAGTATCTGCATGAAAACACAATTAAAGTCATAACCATTGTGAAAAGAAATACATATATTGTAGTTTGATCTGAGGCTGTGTGAACTAATGCTTACTCAGGGTCAAGATATCCAGGAGTACCAGCAACATTTGTTGACACGTGAGATTCAACTCCAATTATAAAAGACCTAGAAAGTCCAAAATCAGCGAGTTTCGCCTGATAGTTCTCGTCAAGAAGTATATTTGTCGTTTTGACATCTCTGTGTACCATTGGAGGTTCGCATCCAGTGTGTAAGTACTCCAATCCTATTGTAATAAAGTTATTAATTTCTTTTCAAGACAATCAACAGGAAATGCAATTTCTTGTGAAAGGCAGTTGAAGTCTGAAATAAAAAATCAAACGGCAAAAGAAATTACATTTGAGGAAAACTGAAATTATGATATATACCTTGTGCAGTCTCGGTAGCCATTCTTAGTCTACTTGCCCAGTTTAAAGAAGCTCCATCTGATTCTCCTGTATTTTATTTGAATGTTATACATTATCGACACAAGAAGCATCAAAATCTAACAAGTGATTATTGTTTTGTGCCAATAATTCAGGCATATTTACCTGAGAGATATTGTTTTAAGTCACCCTTGGAAGCATACTCATACACAAGAGCCAAGTGGTCTTCTTCATTACAATATCCAACAAGGTTTACTAAATTTGTGTGGTGAACCCTCAAAAGCAACTCCACCTTATTAAGAATGTAAAAAAAAACATAAGTTTTATATACAAAGCCAATTTATAGAATGATAGTGTTTTGCATGCATGACTGTCTTCTTTTAGCACGTCAAAGTGAAACAATCGAACAAGGCCCTTACAAAAAATTTCGACTATATATACTAATTATGGCCTAAATGTTTGACCATGGCCTACATATAGTTTGATACAGCCCTATTTCTTGTGTATATTGCAAGATATAATATTTGTACCTCTGCTTTGAATTGCTTATATCCTTGTGTAGATGATTCAGAGAGAAGTTTAACAGCTACGTGTTCGGTATCATTCAAAGAACCATGATAGACGGTTCCAAATCCTCCTTCTCCTAAAACTCTTTCAAAGTTATTTGTCACTGCTTCCACCTCCGAATATGTAAAGATTCTCTTTTTTGTTAAGATTACTGACTTAGTGATTGGCGATTTGCGACGAACTGCATTGGAGGTTTCATATATCAGAACTAAACTCCATGAAATTTCAGGATGCCAAAAGTCTCGTATTTTTACCTTTTAACTTTCGTTTCTTTTTGGCAACAAAATGAGAACTAGCACAGCCACAATAACGAACAAGGAAGCAGCTGATGCAACAGCAGGTACAAGGAATCTTGTGTTGTTAGTTTTGCATTTATCAGACAGATGAAGCTTTGGATTTTTTTAGAACACTACAACGCAAAATTATCATGGACTAGATAAGTTAATACAAAAAATTGGATGGAGAGTGATGAAAACGAATTATGTATGAAAACGCTTACCTTAGCTTTAGCCCATGATTCTTTTCTCTATCACAAAGGGCCTGAGGAATTGTACCGTTAAGATTGTTCCAACTTAAGTTACTGCACGAAGCAGAGAACGATCCGTTCATGTATCTAAATCAAGCCGAGTACAAAATATATGAAGCAAATAAATCTTGATTCTGGTTTTGGAGCAACTTACATGTTGAACAACGATTTCATGTTAGCTAAAAACTCAGGCACTCCTCCAGACAGACTATTACTGGATAAATCCCTAGCAATGGTCAGAAGTTTAAAGAATCATTGGATCTTCTTATTTAGGATTAACAATTATAAGGAAATGATATAAAATGACCCATAATGGAAAATAATGTAAAACATATATTCATTAAGGAAAAATTGTAAAAATAACCCTTATAAGAAATATTTTATAAATACCAGCTCTAACCTTCTAGCTATTTTTCTATGTAGTCTAATGATAAACTAAATGCAGACTAACTGATCATACAATTCAAAGTAGATTACAATGTAAACTAATAGCAGATTAAATAAAAACTAATAATGAATCCCTTTTACATTTTTTTTATGAAGAATCATTGTTTGCAATATAATTGCCAAATAAACTATTTAAACAAATGAATGACTCAACAATCTATACTATTAAAAGTCCCGATCAAAAGAAAAAATTTATACTATTAAAAGAGAATCATTACTTTGAAATATCCAAAAGCTACCATAGTATTTACTAAATGTGCTATTACATTTACTAGACATTTTCATTAATTCATTAAGGGTAATTTAGTCATATCATTAAACTGTTAAAATATATATTAAATTAAATTAAATTAAATTATATTAGTTTGTTAACAGATAATACCAATAAATTATATATGATTCATAATAAAATTCAAATTAATTTAATTTCAAAATTATTTTAAAATCTTTCATAATATCTTAACATAACTACCATATATATGACATGAATAACTAATATAATTTTATATATTATATTATAAATTAAATATATATTATATTATAATCAATTTCTTCTCTATAGTATTAAAAGAAAAGCACTACTTTAAAATGTCGAAAAACTATTATGGTATTTACTAAATGTGACAATTGGTAGTCAATGATGAATATGTAATCATTATTTTTTAGTTACATATATACATACTATGAAAAAATATTATGTAAATAATTTAGTTTTTCTGGCTTGTTAATGATTTTTTTTGTGGGAAATTATGATTTTGCGGATTGGACAAACACAATTTTGTAGATTTTACGGATTTTACAAGTTTTAGCGGGTTTTATAAATTGTAGCGAAAAATATAGTTCTCCGAGAAAATGCCAGTTTGACAACAAATGTGCTTTTGTAGAGTTAGCAGAAATACATGATTTTTGAAATTTGGTCGTAAATCATAATTTTGCAAATTTGACGGGGTTTACGGGAAAACACGGATTTGTGAAATGCGAATAACGCAATTTTGCAGGTTTTATGGATTTTACAGGTTTTAGCGAGAAAATGTAGTCATATAGAAAAATGCGGGTTTTGATTTTTCAGGTTTGGCAGAAACACATGAGTTTAGAAATTTGGTCGTAAACACGATTTTATGGATTTTACAACTTAATGGAAAAACACGGGTTATTAGATTATACAAACTATTTTTATATTATAGTTTTATGTTCTTAAAATTATTTAGATTTGATTTTATAAAAAAAATTATTTGGATTAGCGGATTTTCTGTTAAGTTTTGTAACAAATATTTCAATATATTATGTTTTCTAATGCAAGAAAGATTTTATTTGTTTGTAATTAGGATTTCAATATTTTCATAAAATCACGCTGTTGTACCAAAACCAGGAATTCCCGTAGAAACTGTAAAAATAATATTTTCAATTAAAATGTAGTCATATAGGAAAATGCGGGTTTCGATTTTGCAGGTTTGGCAGAAACACATGAGTTTAGAAATTTGGTCGTAAACACGATTTTATGGATTTTACAACTTAATGGAAAAACACGGGTTTTTGGATTTGGCAAGAAACATGTTTTGGCGGGTTTTATTGGTTTTGATGGAAAAATATGATTTTATGAATTTTATTGAAAATAACGAGAAACACAATTTTACAGGTTTGACAAAGACATGTAATTTTTAAAATTTGGCCATAAAATACAATTTTATGGTGTTGAGAAAACATAATTTTTGATTTTGTTAAAAACGTGAATTTGTAATTTTGGCAGAAAAATACGATTTAATTGAAAATGCTATTTTTATAGTTTCTACGGGCCCGGTTTTGGTACAACAACATGATTTTATGAAAATATTGAAATCCTAATTACAAACAAATAAAATCTCTCTTGCATTAGAAAACATAATATATTAAAATATTTGTTACAAAACTTAACAGAAAATCTGCTAATCATAATAATTTTTTTTTTATAAAATCAAATCTAAATAATTTTAAGAACATAAAACTATAATATAAAAATAGTTTGTATAATCTAATAAAAAATTCCGTTTGAGCCACAATTTTGGATTTAATAATATAAACTATTCTTTGAACAAAAATTTAATAGAAACCAATTTTTGCTATAGCCTAAAAATATTATATGAAAAAAATCTGTGCAAGTACGC